GTGTGTGTGTGTGTGTGTCACTCACCAGGGTCTCCACCTGAAGCTCATCGGCTGTGTTGTCTTCTCCACAGGTGAAAGCTGTGAGCAGCAGCAGCAGTAACACGCTGCTCTTCATTGTGAACTTCTGCAAAAGAGAAGAAGCCATAAGCAACAACTTCCGTGTCTTCTTCTTCTTTCAGAGAAAGAGAGAGAGCGAGAGAGAGAGCGTCACAGTCTGCTCGCCGTCCCTCACTCTGTCCAAAATGGCTCAGCAGCAGTCTAATGCTGATGTGTTATAATAGTGGAGCGATAAGGACTCGCAGCCTGTGGACGTTGTCCCACCACCTGGGTCTCTCTCTCTCCCTCACAGAGCCCGCCTCACACATTCCGCCAGCAGCATCCCATCAGGCCAAGGGGAAGCGGAAGCGGCGCCGTGTGCGTGCAGAGGCGCTGGGGGGCGCTGTTGGTGGCGTCCTGTGCGTGTTTGTGCAGCCTGCCAGCAGCAGACCTGTCACAGTCTGCTGCACACACGCCACGTCTCTGCCATGAGCACACAGCTCTGTGGATGAGGAGGAGGAGGAGGCGGCTTCAGCTGTGTGGAAACATGGTGGAAACCTGCTTTTTAAAGGGATAGTTCACCTAAAAAAAAATCTAAATTCACCCATGATCCACTCACCAGTATGCTGATGGAGGGGTGGGTGAAGTGTTTGAGTCCACAAAACTCTTCTTCAAATGTAAAAAATCACCTGTGGTGTGAGCCAAGTGTCTGACTTGAAACAAGGTCATCGACACCAAGGCATTAATGTCCTCGCTATTTCTTCTATTTGGATGGTAACTTCAAAATTATTTTGCCTTGTTATTTTTCTTAATTTCCACTTCATCATCACCAAACGTAAAACTACTTGCATACACACAGGCCGGTGTAATTTGGAAAGCTTGTGGCTTTTCTTTTTCTCTTGGAATCTGAGATGCTTTGCTGAGTTTTAGTGAGTGAAGCCTCGGATGTCACTCAGCTTTCTGTCCTGCAAACTGAAAAGATAGTTTTCAATATTGAAAGTGACACAAACACACACACACACACACCCACCCACCCACACACACACACACACACACACACATAAAGGTGTGACTTGTTCTGACTATTAGACCCCTGCCCTGCTGGTACTATAACACAGGTGTAAATAATAAAATGGAAGCTGTTTGGGCTTCAGGGTCCTGGCTTAGTGCTTGTGTGTGTGTCTGTGTGTGTGTACTGTTGTGTTGTCTTTGCACTGATATGACTCACTGCGACACTGCAAGGGGTTTGCTCTTTGGTTTGTAAATGGAAAAAAGTGACTATGCCTTAAAACATCTGTTACCCATATGAACAGATTTCGTGTAATTTACCAGAGGTTGTAGGAACCAGTGTTTTCACAAATCAGCGTCCTGCCAGCTACAACAGTTTCAACCATCCTTTAAATTGTGTGGATTGAATGGGTTTATTTGTTGGTGTTTATCAGTTATCCCTTTTTAAGTAATCCGTGAAAATCTGGAGGCTGTATTTGAGTTTGGATTGGTTGACACAGATTTGAAATCATTCATCTCTCCCCATCAGTCCTCAGTCACTCACTATTTGCAAAATAAAAATATCTGCTTCATAAAAGAAAGCAGGGCTGAGCTGACCGTGTTCAAAAATAATAGAAACGAGTCAAATCTATCTGATGGTTCAATCGTCATGAAAAAAACTAAAAAAAAACGCAGGACCTGTCAAAACAAATTTCAGTTTTGGTTTTGACATCCACTCTCGCGAGATCTCGTGTGCTGCCGATCGTTCCCTGGAAATTCTTGTGAGACGTTAAGTAGAGGACTCCTCATCGCAGGTAAGTGAGGACACTGCCTCCATCAACACGATCAGATACACGGATGTTCCTGTGGGCGACAAAACAACAGTGTGTGTGTTTCCTCCGTGGCGGTCGCGTGGCTTCGGTGTCCCCCGGTCTGAAGCAGCGGGGCTCGTCTCCGTGGCAGCGGGACGCCCGCTGAGGACGGATGTGTGGGGCGGATACTCGCCGCTAGCTACCGTCACGTCTCATCGATTCAGCGGTTCAAGCTAACACGCACTGAAACGTGTTACTAGACATTATCAAGATTCCGTGCTAAAATGAAGAATTGCGATTTTTTTTGGTGTGAACAGGAGCGGGGCAGTGTGCGGGGCAGTGTGCGGGGCCGACACGGCTAACAGCGGCAGGTTAGCGGTGTCGTTACGCACCGTAGCACCGCCGGCTAACGCGAACCGGAGTCCCGCGGGTCTGGATGAATGGATGTTATCAGAGGCCGTGTGTCTGCTAACATCACCGGCACACAGCTGAGTGTTTGAACCCGGGGGGGGTCCTCTTCAGCACCATGGACAGTGATGGTGAGACCCCTCCTCTTGATCTCGTCTGAGCTGCTGCTTCTGTCTGCAGGGTCATTCCATCCAGGATGGCTGCAGATACATCTGAACGAATAGATAGCACCACTGTCACCTACACTGAGTACACAAGACAACACACTGTGATCAACATGTACCACAGTGTTTGCCATCCATGTTTTTATAAGCGTCTGCACTTTACTCCCCATTATTCTGTTTCCCGTTAAGTTATTTACATGGCATCTATTGAATGAGAGTCTGTGTTTCTCCTCTGTAGGTTTAGTTTTTAACTCTTAGTTGGATTAGTCTGGTTCGTTGTCTGAATCAAGGGCTCGCAAAGACTGAAAATGTTGCATTCATCCAATATCTATACCTCTTCTGCTTTGAGGTTTGCAGAGGGAGCTGGAGCCAATCCCTGCTGACATTGGGTGAGAGACAGGGTACACCCTGAGCATGTTGCCAGTGTATATTGCAGGGCCAACATACAGAGATAAACAGACTTTGACTCTCGCTCTCACTCGGTCAATTTAACCTAACCCCGATCCTCGCTTCTTTGGACTGTGAGGGGAAGCTGGAGAACTCAGAACATGCCCACACGCATTGGGAGAACATGCAAACTCCACACTAAAAGACCCTAACCTGGGATTCAAACCTTTTTGCTGTGAGGTGACAGAGTTAACCCCCCCAACACCATGCTGCCCTGCTGACTTGACACTGCTTGAAGTACAATATTTAGACACCACGCAGCATTTCACCATGTTGACGAGTGCTGCTAAGCATCATGTGGACTAGAGGGTGAAATGTACTCTCCTTTTGTCTCTTTCTCTGGTTTAGATCAGATGACTTTATGTTAGACAGATTAAATGAACGTATTTTATGCTAGGCCTGGTAATATAGGACATTTTTACATGTGCTCTGAGGGCTTGGCGTTGCAAACTAACATTTGAAGGAGGGGGAAGAAAAAAAAAAACAGCAACAGGGATCTGAACAGATTGCACTGTAGCCTGGGGGTCATGGTACTGACATCTCATTCCCCCTCTCTGTTGTGATGACTGGGGGCAATTAGCATAGCTGCGCCCCTGTCTTTGAGAATGCATGTAGAGGTGAGATTTTCTGGAGTCGTCTTTTAGAAAGGTGAGAGAGGGCTGGCTGGAGCATTTCTGCCAGTGTAACTTAACAAAGGCCTGACAGACTAGTAATTCTGTTTTTGTTTTAATGTGTATTGCAACACACTTCCAAGTATCACTAAACAGTTTCTTTCTCTGTTTCTCTCTTCCAGCCGTCCTTCGTAACTTATCCCCCTTCGTCAACTGACACTGGATTCCAGCATCACGATTACTGCTGCTCTTTAAAGTTGAAAATCTCTAATCTGAATCATGGGAAATATTTTCGGGAATTTGCTGAAGAGCCTCATCGGTAAGAAGGAGATGAGGATCTTGATGGTGGGGCTCGATGCTGCAGGAAAAACAACAATCCTCTACAAGCTCAAGTTGGGTGAAATCGTCACCACAATCCCAACCATCGGTAGGTGAACAGGAAACCAAAATGTGGTCATGTACATTATGATAGGCCCCTGTGTTTGCTTTACATGTTGCATGAACTTGCTCCTGTTTCCAGGGTTTAACGTGGAGACGGTGGAGTACAAGAACATCAGCTTCACTGTGTGGGACGTGGGTGGGCAAGACAAGATTCGTCCCCTCTGGAGACACTATTTTCAAAACACACAGGGTGAGCAGAGCTAATTAGAAGCTAACACCAGACTTAATGGTGTTAGTGCCTCTCCTTCTTAAGAATATATTGATGTTAGCGTGTTGTTGCTGTTGCAGGTCTAATCTTTGTGGTGGACAGTAACGATAGAGAGCGTGTGAACGAAGCACGAGAGGAGCTGATGAGAATGCTTGCTGAGGACGAGCTGAGGGATGCAGTGCTCCTTGTGTTCGCCAATAAACAGGCAAGAAATCATTACTGTTCTGCATGTACATACACACATATACAGTACATACTGATATACAACAGGCTTTTAGCAGAAGATCAGCCCCTAAAAACCTACTTCCTGTTTTATCTTTGGTTTACAATTCAACTTCTCTGTGTGGCTCATCTGTGCATAACAGCATTTTGCTTCTATGGATGCTGAGTGTATATCATGAAAGTATACATGGAATATAAACTGTCAGAAAAACTGTATGTGAATGATTAAAGTCATTTCTTTTTGTGAATCAAGTATATCCTTTAGAATTCATGACTTACCAGATCATGAAGAGAGGAGAAAAGAAAGAAATGCTAGTTTGGGGCATCCAACATCAAAAGATCATTCATGTACAATCAAGTATGATAAGGAAAAGTTGTATATTTTCACATAGAAACAATAAAAAACCAAGACGTTTTTGTAAATTAGTAAAAAGATATTTTAATTGGTGCAAAGAAAGTGATAAATAAAATTTGGGATTTGCCCCTAAAGTTAATGGGTTCTTTACCGACCCATTTCCCATCTTTCCACCAAGTTTAACTAAATTTTCATTTAAATTGGTTCAGTAGCTTTTGCATAATCTTGGTAGAAGGCTGTCAAACAGACACATAGCAGTGCAGGTAATAATTGACTTTACACAGTGTTTCCCACAGAATTGACTCAGTCAGTTTGCGCTCACACACACAGAGCCTGACTGACAGGTACACAGAGAGTGAAGGAGATGTTCTCACGTGTAAGAGAACTGCATTAAATCCTACTTTCGGGTACACACACATCTGCAGCTGAAATGTTGAGGTTAGGCTGTCTGTGTGGATGGTAAAACTTAGAGGATGATAGCACAAGTGTGCAAGAGGGAGAGACCAAGCAAGCACGAGGAAAAAAGCGCAGGCAGCTCGACAAGGAATCAACAAACACTAACTGAGAGAGCTCTTATGTTATTATGAGATGTTTCATTATTCATCCACAGTAAATGCATACATGCTTAGCCACAGGCCACACATCACTAATCCTCTCAGATTGAGGGCAGCACTTTCTCCTCACTGACCTGTCACCTCTCTGACAGGACTTACCCAACGCCATGAACGCTGCTGAGATCACAGACAAGCTGGGCTTACACTCCCTGCGCCACCGTAACTGGTACATCCAAGCTACCTGCGCCACCAGCGGGGACGGCCTCTATGAGGGTCTTGATTGGCTGGCCAATCAACTCAAGAACAAGAAATAAGAAGACATCTGGAGACAGCAGCTGGCAGCTGCACCCATCCACCTTTATATTGATTTTATTTTTGAAAATGGGGCTGTGGGTCAGGAGCAAGGGTTTTGGTTGATCGGTGCAAAGAAAGATTCAGGGTCTGTGGGAGATGTTCAGCTTTCTTTTTTAGGTTTCCGAGAGTTTTCATCTCACATTGCAAAAAGATTCTCAAATACTCTGTATTTCACCACTCACACACTCACACGTGCACTCACAAGAACACTAACCGTAAGCAATCACAGCAGACACTTGCTTTTCCTGTGTCCACCTCTTGTCCTTAGGTGCAGTGTACTGTGTGTTCATCTCTGTCAGTCGTCCATCCAAAGGACTTATCGGTTTCGTTTGCACTTCCTGTGTGTTTGTTTACCTTCTTCTCTTGTGGGAGCCATGAGAACAATCACAGCTGGCAGTTTCACATCACCATGATTCAAGTTGCGCTTACTTTAAATTTTACGAGCAACGCAGAGGCACTTTGATACTCAGATAACGTGTGTACATATGAAATGTATGTGTTCTTGTAAGCGGCTCAGACACACAACAACAGTCCTCTTACTGCCTCATTTTTAAACCTTTTGATATCTGTGGCATCTTTCTATATTCCGCGCGTGAGATCCCAAAGTGCTGAAGCCGCCCCTTTTTAAATCTTTTAAAGTGCTCTGCACATTCTCGACCGCCTGACCTGCATGCGCCGTGGTAGATGTCGCTTGTATTGTTGCGTATCCTTTTTCATCCTCTGAGCTGCATGGATGTTGACGCTGTTTGTTATATTTCCTCAAACTAGCCTGATTGTGTTCTGGTGTTGTTTACAGTCAGGATGCAGAAACCAACTCTGTCGCCACTTCCTGCTTATTATTATGTGCTTAAAACTGTGTAGTCAGCTTCATGGTCTCTTAATGTGAAAGCAGTGTATCGGTTGACCTGCACATAAACACAAGACACACAAGACCAGCATAGATGCTGCTCGTCTGCCATCTTGTTTTTGTCCACGTGAGTCACTCAAACTGCTTCAGGTTGCTCTTGCTTCATGTGTTTTTGTCTCCAACTTGCATATCGAGGGAGCGGGAAGGGGTTGGTGATTCTGTCACTGATAACTCTGTGTTACTGAATGTGAATATTGCCGATGAATCTATAAATGGCTGTACTGTAATTTATTTTATTAATTATGTGACAGAAAGCAGGATAAGCAGATTTATACGTGGGTGTTGGTAGTTTTCCGAGATTCATCAGCACGTCTGTGGCTCAGCTCTGAACCGGAGACGAGTCACTACTTCGCCCCTGATACCAGCAGAATCCACCAATTTCTGTCAGTAAAACATGTTTTGTGTGTGCCATACCTGGGTACTGCTACTCACTCACCAGTGACAGTGCAACATACTGTATATTCACTCCAACCTGTCAATGCATTGTTCATATTCAACATGTTTAATCATGAGTTTTATCATTTGGGTTTTGTGGCCTTATAATTCGTCATGACTTCACATTGACTTTCTTTGAGCTCGTTTGAGTCACATATATTTATCTATGGTATATAGAATGATTTGCAGAATGATTTGAGGCGATGAGGCAAAGGTTTTTTTCCGACAGTATCGTTTGTTTTGCCAGTAAACTTGATTCATATATGATGGTAGGTTTCTTTGGTTTGTTTCTTGGGGTGTAAAGAAACTTTGATGTAAACAGTCTCTGTGAAATAATGATGATCAGTGCGAACATAAAAATAAAGAAAGGCAAAAAAAAAAAAAAACTTCAGATGATTCATTCTGTACTGTTACAGTTACACAAGTAGATTTAAAAACGAAGAAGACTAAATGACTTGATGCAGAATGCACGGGGACATGTGTATGTGATGTAAGACAACAAACAAAATCCTGCTGTATCACAAATAAACCCATTTTCTGTATGACCTGTCTCATCGAGTGTGAGTGAGCGTTACTGATGAACTTCAAACTTACAAGTTCACACATATTCATGGAAGACAATGACCTCATGGAGGCTGTTACACGTTTCAGCCAAAAGAGGACAGTGTTTAGCAGCAGTATCTGACAGTTAGCAGTTTGAAGTTTCTTGAAAAGGCTTGTTTTTCTGTTCATGGTCCGGACAGCCTGCACCAGCTTTACAGCTCAGGAAACATACCTAAAATACAAATATACATTTCATATTTTTTTCTTATGTTATGGGAATAACTTCTAAACCTGATGTGTAAAAAAATCTGCAAATCAGAACGATGCATTACATTTGTTTTGGGTCTCAGAGACCACAGCTGTAAAACTCCTTTAAAGGTTCAGTGTGTAGAATTTAGTGACATCTACAAGTGAAGTGTCATGGTGCAGCTGAATACTCCTCATTTCACCCTCCCCTTCCAAACGTGAAAGAGAACCTGTGGTGAGTTCTCATGAAAACTCAAAAGGTTTTAGTTTGTCCAGTTTGGACCACAGTAAAAAACATGTATACAAGTACATTTAAATATAAAGGGCCCATTCTATGCTAAAGGAAACAACAATTCATACAATTTAGATGAAACACACCAGTGAAAACATCACTTGGATTATTTTATATTCAATTTCTGCCCAAAATCCCTTTCCACTAAATCTTACACACTGGAACTTTAAATTCTATACGTTTTCATATGCTCTATATCTGCTTCATATGCTCCAAGAAATAAACGAAATAATTAATAAAGCAATGGATAGAAATGTCATTTTCTAGCAAGTTTCAGCTGTGACCATGGATGTGTGCTGCAATGTTTGTAACCTTTTTCCATTTAACCAGAAAACAGTGTCATTTAAAAGCGTTTAGATTTCTTTTGTCAACAAATGGGATTCAGCTTTATTGGTCTATGCTCAGCTTCCCAGTTCAGAGAGCGGTATACACGATTATAGTACTTTGTATCAAGTACTATGAAATTATTATATTTGATTATCTTATTTTATTTTGTATTCTGTTTTAAACCACAAAGTGTGTTAATATGTGAATGTCATTCAAGATTTGGGGGGAACACACAAGAAAACACATTTGCTCCACTGATTTTATGTTTCCCTGAAATGTGTACGTGTGTGTCTGTGTGTGTGTGTGTGTGTGTGTGTGTGTGTGTTATTCAACAGGTTGTGTCAGAGAGGACATAAAGGAAATAAAATACAACAAAGATATGTGAATGACTTCCTGGTAGAGGTGGAATATTAACCATTTGTTTTTAACATCTCCTTTACCTTTCATTTGACACAGTCACACACAATCTGACTCTCTGCAGTGTGGAAACATTTTTCTGTCTGATTTATAATTCAATGTAATTAGACCTGTCCAGAGAGAGAACAGAGGAGATTCTATTCTCTCTCTCTCTCTGTGTGTGTGTGTGTGTGTGTGTGTGTTCAGACTGGAGCTGCAGGCAGAGCCTGTTTGCTCAGAGTAGTTCAGCTGGATCTCCCACTCTTACAGGCAGACAACGTTTGCACGAAGCTTGGTCTGAGTTCATGAATAAGAAGCTTGAACTGATTTTTTCAAAGTCTTAAGTGCAGCAGTAAAATCATGTGGCAATAAAATATTGTACATTTCCAGTAACAGTGTAAAGGAGTGGAGGGGTCAAAGTTTCATTTCTTAAGCAACAGGTGTAAGAAAAGTTCCTGCAGATCATGTGTGACAGAGTGACACATAACAGATAAGTAGGAAGAGGAGGGACTGTTTAAATATTTGTTACCATTTTTATGCTTGAGTTTGGAGGGGATCTGTTTTTAAAGGGAAGTAAAATGTTCCATTCTTTGTTGGCATGCTCTCAGATTTTGAGGGGGCAGAGGAAATGACTCACCTGTTCTTACTGTAAAGATAAACATACTCACACATGAAGGAGCCACGAGGCAGACACATGTTCAATATGAACAGTTCATCAGTCTGATGCTAAATGCTCAAAGGGGTCGGAATTGTTTTATTGAACATAACATAATTGACCAGAACTTAAAAGACATTGATACATATCTTCGGCTGTCATTCAAGAATCAGAATTCAGCAACTTTATTGTCATTTCACCATTTATCAGCTGTGTGGGGCAGAATGACAGTGATGTGGTAATCACAAGCACAATAAATGATAAATGCAACAGTTTAAGTAGAATCCCTGTACCCACATGTTGGTTTGAATCGAGTTGAAAGTTTCCAGTGTAGGTCTGAGATAAAGTGTCAGTAAATTAGGAACAAAGTGCAAATAAAACGGCAGCAGAATAGAGCAGATTTTCAGCCGTCTGGTTGCTTGTGACAGGGAGCTGATACACATACACTAATGCATTTGTCAATCATAACAACTGATCAGTACACTTAAACTGAAAACAGGGGAACATGTTTTTGAAGATGATCGAGAAAACTGGAGTGACATGTGAATCCATCCATATTTTTTTTTTCTACATGTCATGTTCTCCACACCCAGTTCCAGAGGCTCCCTCTCGGGCGGTGTCTTTGCCTCCCCAGGTGATCATCCAACCGGCACAGGGCATTATTAACCCAAAAGCCATCCGTCGGCTATTAAGGCATTAAAGGACAATTCTGACCTTGGCACTTGAAAAACACAGTCACTCTTAAATCTGCCATGTTGACTATTTTATTTCTTAATTATAACTTCCTGTAGTATAATTTTTTTTTGTTGAGAAATTGCACTTTTAACTCAACACAACTGAACAGCTCTTTTGTGGTGTTTAATTGTATTATTGTTCCATGGATGTTTCATCAGTTCCTTTTTTAAATCACCCTAAACCGAATTGCCTTCTGGATTTGTAAAGCTGCATTGTTATTGCATTGTATCTCTAGTTTAACTGTCTGGTGCATGAGGTGTGTTGAATGTTACAACTGGATTCCTATAGGTTTACCCCTCCCAGATAAATCAGTGCGAGAAGACAAGAGTCGCTCCCGCCTCTGATTGGCTGCGCGTTGCGCTCCAATCACGGAGCTGTAGTGATTCCTCTCACACAGACCGGAGCGGGCAGCATGTAAAGTTGCGGCTCAGTTAAACGTCACAGAGAGAAAATACTGAACGTTCTTCACTTTTTTCATTTTCAATTCCAGGACTAGAGGACGTGGAACAGAGGAATTTAAAGGGCAATCTGGAAACACTGCGCGTCAAATCTGGATTGACTCAATGGACTCTCACGGATTGACACGACCGAGGACTATTTTGGATAACAAAGGGACATTTTCTTCTCATTAGTATGATCGGGATGTTTGTTTAAAAACCAGCAGCCTGGATATCTGACTGAGGATGACTGCTCTCATGAGGAAGGTGCAGGTGGTGCTGTGCGTCCTGCTGGTGTGCGCGCTCCAACTCAGCTGCGCTCAGGCGCCAGAAGGTGGGCTCTCTCTCTCTCTCACACACACTCACTCTTTCTTTTTCTCTCTCTCTCTCTCTCTCTCTCTCTCTCTCTCTCTCACACACACACACACACACACACACACTGGACACTAGGAGCTCTGATGTAGGAGAACACCTGTCCTCCTCCCTCACAAACCTCACACAAACAAACCAGAACCTGTTCTATACACATGTGTAAAACTCGTTTGCTGTGACTCACCTGCACCTCTCCCATAATCAGTTGTGTGTGTGTGTGTGTGTGTTTGTGTGTGTGTGTGTGTGTGTGTGTGTGTGTGTGTGCCTCACCATGTTTGTCTCAGTTGTTTCAAGGCCTGACTTTTCATCACCTGTTGACTAACAACCACAGCCAATCCCCAAAGATGAATTCTTTTTTTCTTTTAGTCACCAGTGAGGAATTTATTATTGAAGTAAAGGCAACAATAACACAATTCAAACATATTTTTTCACAAGTACAATTCTTATGTTTTAAATATAGCTGACTGAAAATATAGGATTGAACTCCTTGTGTTATTGAACTTTATCATATCGTTGGATTAAAAGCAATTTTTAATGGTGAAGTTAATACTAACTAGTTTAATCTGTAGAAATGTAGAATATTTGATTATACTATAGCCTATGTTTTTTATATACAAAATTGAACTTTGAAGTAACCAGGGCAGAATCTTATTATTTTCTTTTAATCAATTGATTGTTAGATTGTAAAATAGTAAATAATTGTCTGGCCAGAATTCCAAAACACAAATAAACATACTTTGCTGAAGATAGAAAAGCAACTTATAAGTATGTCAAAAGTATTTTCCTCCACCAGGTCAGGTGATGTGTTTTTGGCAGAGAGAGAGAGAGAGACAGAAAGGTGTTGTGATTTGAATCTCTCTGTGACCTTCGACCCTCATGCTCTTGTCACTGTCACCTGGTGAGTCAAGTGGGACTCGGTCTGAGAAAAACAATATTAACACAAGCTCAAAGATTTTTTTAGGCAGCTGATGCTCAGATGACAGAGCCTCTGGCATGTCAGCTAAACACATGCACACATACACACCCAGGCATGCACAAAACACACAAAACATACAAAAGCACTTATTGCGTAGAGGCACTTGATTGTTAAGACTTTGTTGATTCACAAACACAACTGACTTAAACAACGGCAATACACACAAACAATGTTAACTCAATCTGTTTACTTCGTTAAAGACACACTTGCTTGTACTGGTTTTAAAAAATAGAACTAATATGTACATCAAATAGAAATTATATTATAGAAATTCCAGCGGGATAATTTGATGTGGTAAACAAGCTAATGTTGTGCAGTTGCTGTTGTTTAGCTGCAAGTTAGACCTGCTGTTCAGTAACCTTTGATATATTCTTATTAGCCGTAATACATGAGGAAGAGTCACAATAGAAATGGTAGTAAAGTTTTAAAGTGCTGCAAATACATTTTATTGGAGCTGTCGTGCACTTTTGTATTAAAGTGTGTATAAAAAAAGAGAAATGGTTCTCATGTGTGTGTTTGCACATAAATTCCCGTAAATAAATAACCAGAGATGTTGCCAACAG